GCCAAAAATTAGACCTGACCCTGCAGCTAGTATTTCACTTCTGAATAACTTTTTTTTCCTTTTTGGGTCACATCCAGCAATGCTCAAGGGTTACTCCTGGCTTTGCACTCAAGAATTACTCCTGGAAGTGCTCAGGGGACAATATGGGATTCCAGGGATTGAACCCAGGTCAGCCATGTGCAAGGCAAACGCCCTACCCGCTGTGCTATCACTCCTTGGCCCCAACATCTGAATTTTTTTAATTCAAATCATTAATGAAATTCCTCCTTGACTTATAAAATGTATTCTATATATGGACTTAACATCTAAAAACAAAAATAATATTTGATATATCACATTAATAGAGTCCCTTATAATAAGCCATCTTATTTTTCAATTACAGATTTTTCAAGTATACATGAAAAATAGAAGTTGCTAAAAGGAAATAATGTTTATTACAATTACAGACATCTAATTTCTTAGAATTGACTTAAAGCTAGAAATTGTGCCTAAATAGGAAGTATAGGTTTTATTCTAGGAAGAGAAATGGAAAGATAATCCAACCAAGATTTAAAAGTCAAGGTCACAGTGTGTAGGTGCTTGACCTGCATACAGCCAATCTGGATTCTATCTCCAGCACCACATATGGTTCCCCAAACCCTGCCAGGAGTCACTCCTGAGCATCACTGGGTGTGCCCTCCCCGTCAAAAAAAAAAGCCAAATGGTCATATAAATAAAAATAAAAATCATGATCACTTTTATCTTTCCCCTAAAATAGTTGCAGCATAGGTAGCAGTTGTTTTAAATTTTTCAATTTGCATCTACAAAATTATATCTCATTTTAAAATACTATTTAAGTTAAATGTTGAAGGACAAAAGTCGGGGACATTACTTCAATTCAGAAAATTGTTCAGATTTTTGGACAGCTAACCCTAAGATTGTCATTGATCTCACTTCCTGCTTTGTCATTGATTTTTCTTCAGTTGTTAAACTAAACCTGCAGCATTATATATTTTTTAAAATATACAGTAAACTGAAAAGTGATGAATAAATTCATTTAAGGAATTCAGACAAGAACCTGTACTTGAGAAGAGAAAGTAGAAAACAAAAAGTGTCAACACACCATCTTTACAGTAATTGCATAAAAGGGCAGGAGCGATAGAGAGTGAGTAAGAAGTTTTTGGCCTTGCAAGCTGCCGATCTGGGTTCCATTCCCAGGATCCTCTGTGGTCCCTGAGCCCAGCCAGGAGTGATGGTTTAGTGCAGACACAGGAGTAAACCTTATACTCCACTGGGTGTGTTCCCCCCCAAAATAAACAAAAAGCATTAAATGGGTGGTCTCTTTCTTCCCTATTGAAGGTTTAAAAAATGTCAAAATCCAGATAAAGAGCTATCACACTCACTTTATAGACATAATTCCATTCATTTCAATTAAGTTAAAAGATGACAAACTTTTTATATTTCCATAGAAAGTTATATGGGAAGAAAATAAAAACTATTTAGTTTTAGAAGTAAACGTTTTGTCTTCAAAGATTCACAAAGCCATTTTCTGAAATTTTATTTTATAGTAAAGAAATTGCAGGCTTACCTTATACTCCCTTAAATTTGTTTATCACAAAAATCCAGATGTTAACCAAACTGCTCAGGGAAGAATATAAGATTGTTCCTTTGACCATGTGCAGAAGAAAAATGTTTGGAAGAAATAATTAGATTCTCCTGAAGATGAATGACCTAATGCAATGTGTCTACACTTCCCCAACTCTATAGTTAGCCTACCATGCTGGAGAGATATATAGCACAGACATATAGTGTAGTAGGGAGGGTGCTTAACTTGTGCAGTGGACCTGGGTTTTGATCCCCACCATCCCATATGATGCCCCAAGCACCTCAAGGAACAAGTCTTAAGTACAGAATCCAGGAGTCCAGAGTAATCTGGAGTCCAGCAGTAATCCCTGAGCACTGACGGGTGTGGTTCAAACACATACACACACTCACACGCACACATACACACACACACATACACACAATTATTGAGTCTACCTAAAATTAAATGAAACACTCTTTTTTTCTCTAAGAGTTATAAATTTAACATACTTTATAAATAATATGAATTCTAATATACATGATACATGGTTTGGCCTTAGGCAAAAAGAAAAAATGAGACAGCTCAATTAGTGCAGTTTATGTCCTATTTTAGTGCTGTCTTATCATATTATTAATTTTATTATACTTCAGCAATTTAGCTACAAAGTTTAATTTTTGGTCAGTGAAAAAAGGAAGCTGGAATGACAACTTCAAACTGTCATAAAATGTGAGTCATGGTCAAGGGTACACACATTATGCACTCATTAGTTAGTCCAGAAAGATTGTGAGCTCAGAACAGACAAGAACAATGGCTCCAGTACTCATTTTATTATCCCATGTAGTACTTCACATACTGTTGTAGCATTGTAGCACTGTCCTCATTGATTTGCTCCAGCTGGCAACAGTAACGTCTCACAACAAATTGTGAGACTTGTTGTTACTTACTGTTTGGGGCATATTGAATACATCATGGGGAGCTTGCCAGGCTTTGCTGTATGGGCAAGATACTCTCGGTAGCTTGCTGGGCTCTCCAAGAGGGGCAAAGAAGTTGAACCCTGGTCAGCCATGTGGACCGTGTGCAAGGCAAACACCTTACCCGCTGTGCTATCGCTCCTTGTTGATTAAATTTTATCTATACAAAGCTGGAGAGCCTTCCTCAACAATAAATAATAAGTGAAGGGAAATGTGTTATAGAAGCCTAAATTAATTTTAGATAAAATACAGAGAAAAAAATTAGAGTAAAGATCCTTTCACCCAGTGTCACAATTATGCGCATAAGAAACCATTATTAACAGTACGGTAAACCACAGAAGTAGAATTAGTTATTTTTTTAATAGGGTAAGGAAACAAAGGAATGAAATTAAATTCAAACTTTATTCTATGAAATTTGGTTCTCCCTTTAAAACAAGACATTGGGGCTAGAGTCATGAGACTGAGTACATGATTTTCATAAAGACTTGGACTTGATTCCCAGCACCACGTGCCCCACCCCCAACCGACACATCAGAGACTGCCAGAGAAATGCTCTCCAATCTAAGCACAGATCCAGATTCAGTTGTAGGTACTGAGCACTGTAGAATGTGATCCTCTAAAAAGGGATATATAAATTTTAAAAGCAGATGAACACTGCTCAGGAAAAAAAATAAGAAAATATTACGCTTTTGTGGAGTTCATGCAAAATTCAATCAGCCTAATCAATGGCTGAATAAATAGCAGTACTTTTACCTACATAAAAAAAAAGAAGAAAATATTACGCTTTTATTTTGACTTTTAGTTTACAAATTCCTATTCACCGTGTGTGTATATGTATGTTTATATATACATATATATATTTGTGTGTATGTATGTGTTTTACAAGATAATGGCATGTATATACACATATATGCCATTCGTATGTGTCATTATCTTGTAAAATATCAAGGCTATTTAAACACTGCTTAAACAAGCCTTTAACAAAGCTCCTGCATGTAAGTACAACTGTCAAAGTCAAATAACTTTATCTTGGGAGCAAAATTAAAAAGGAGTGAACACAAATGTAATAAAAATCAGGGTTAATAAATGGTCAGGGGATGTTTATTTAGGACATCACTCATTTCCATCATCTGCTTGTTTTAAATTATATTATAAAAAAGATACAATATTTTAAATATTTTCCTACTAGAGACACTGCTGAATTTAAATAATTTTTTCTAAAACATAACCTTTAAAATTCATTTATTCTTATTCTGTAGCCCTCTAAGCATATCCCTAAAGGCTCTGGGAACCACAGGAAGATTCTAACAAAGTACAAAGAGCAGATCTTGCTCTGATCCAAGCCATGGAAGTCATCTTCATTTCAATTAATTTACTTTGCCTTTATGAACTTAAGAATCTTTCAAGGAGGTTGACATTTCACTCATCTGAAAAAGCTTGGAATGTGACAGGGGAAAGGGAGGAGAAGTAAATCAAAGGAGTTAGCAATTTTCCAGATGCAATGTATTTTTCTTCTCTTCTTTTCCATCAGAAATTTTAGAGAACCATCTGACATTTTTATTCCCTACACAAAACCACAGTAGCAAAAAGAGAAAAAATGCAAAATGCTTCTATGTCAAAACCAAATATACACATGCATTTACTAATGCATATAGTTTAAAACAAAAATTCAGATTTGCTGTTAATTGAAATGTTAACAGAAACTGTTTTTTTAAGTGAATGAGATTTTTTTGTTAAGGTTTTAATATATAAAATTTCAATTTAATCATGTCTCTGCCTTTTCGCTAAGATCAAATGTAGTTATCAGTTTAAAAGCAACATCAAGTTTTATACATTTATTCTTTTATTGCGTGATATAAATATTGTGTGTGACAAAGTCAGTGAATCCATGCTGGCTTTTACAGGGAAAGATGGAATTTATAAAACTTCTATGACTAAATTTTAAATCACCCCAGAATATTTCAGTTACCATGTCTAATCACATGATTTCAGACAACTATGTCCAAGTATTTCATGCAAATACTGGTCATTGTAACAGCTATTTTTTCTTCCAGAGTAGAAATTCATTAAAACAAGTAGAGGTAGAAAAAATAAATCTTTGAGGACTGAAGATAATTTCTTATCAAGAGGGATTATAGTCATCGTGTCTTCTAGCTAGAGAGAGAGAAATGCATTTTACTCCCTCCAAAAACCCTGTTTCAATATTTACCTGACAGCTTTGGTATACTGACTTTCCCCCAGTGCATTTCTCCTTTATCAGGTATTATTGTACAAGAGACTTCTTGTTATAAAGTACTAACATAAATCAATCTATAACCGCAGAATTTGTTTAATACATTTATTCTCTTAAAGGTTGCATGATCATATTTCATCAACTCGTACAATAGGAAAAAAATCTTACTACTAAAACAAAGTTTGTAGAGATTGGAGCATGGTAAACCTATTGACTCTTTCCAGAGGTTCATTCTTAGATTTAATGTTAAATAATAACAACTATTCATTTAAGCTGGTCTCGCCGTATATCTTGACCTTTAGCAATTCCACACACAGCAGCTTATTGTGGTATCCTTTAAATATGAGAAATAAGAATGTTTTACTTTGACATTAAAAAAAAATAAAAGAGCACTGTATGTTACATGGCCCATGAAATATTGGCAGTGTGCTCCTTGGCTTTCATTCGAAGAACTGCAATACTGGAAGACCTCCTTTCAAACTCTGGCTTTGTTTCAAATGCATGTCCATTGGTAGCCCCAGTAAGAAGAGAGTCAGTGAAAAAATTGTTGAGGGGCACGTGACTGAACTGGTTCTGGTGGTTTGAAAACCCTGTGTAACTGGAATCTGTCCGAGGCGAGTGAGAGTAAGGTGTCATACAGGAGGAAGTGTCACGTGGTAACATGCATGAAGTAACCACAGAACCGCCGCTTGCATTTCCTGCCCACAAATTGTTCTGAATCTGGAATATATAAAAACAAATATTACATTTAGACATTCTCACTTGTGTTCCCTTACATTTGCTAAACTGCATTTACTAAATTTTGTTGAGTGTTTACTGTTTGCTCCTATTGGGTGGTCTGTAATGATATTTTGTGTATTTAAAGCAATTACTGAAAAATTATTTGAATGATTCTTCCAATTTGTTATACTGTAATAGATCACCAAAACCCACATACTTGACCACATAAAACATGCCAAACTCTTGAGTATTCTTTTTATAGTCATGATTTAGAAAATGAAATCTGGAAGACTTAGTCATGATTCATGACCAATTCATGTGCTTAGAAAGCAGTTTAAAATATGGTTTTAAGTATAAATATAGTTTTCATCTTTCTAAATAAGATGACACAGTTGCACTTCTTAGTTCTATAGTTGGACTTTTTGGTGCAGCAGTTTTTATTGGAAACCATTGCAGACAGTGGATTGTTTGTTCTGTAAAGTTATTTTTTATTTCCTCCCCACCAAAAAAAAATTGTTGTGATAAAAATTTCAGTTTGGAAAATAATTTACTCTTTATGTCTTATTTTTTGCAATTTTGAATATAAAGCTATATGTACATAGCACAGCAGTAGGGCGTTCACCTTGTACACAGCCGGCCCAGCCGAGCCGGTCCGATTCCTCCACCCCTCTCAGAGAGCTCGGCAAGCTACGAAGAATATCTTGCCCACACGGCAAAAGCCTGGCAAGCGACCCGTGACGTATTCAATATGCCAAACACAGTAACAAGTCTCACGATGGAGACGTTACTGGGCCCACTCGAGCAAATTGATGAATAGTGGAAGGATCATGACCGTGTGACCGTAATGTACATGAAAATATATGTTTTGTAAATTTACCTTATGGTTTCTGTGTCATATAAAGGGTTTGCAACAGATCTATGACATATGAAACAAATTCATAATTCAAAAACATAGTCATTTAGAAAAGGTCATAAAGTACTGCATAATATCTGATATAAGAGTAAAACCTGTTCTTTCACATTCAAGAAACTTATATATCCATTGTTAAATCACTCCAACAGATAATTGAATGCAGTATTACCAACAAATATCTCTAAAGTTACTAGCATAAAAAACATAGAACATTACTAGCATATAAACACTAACTATAATTCATATAATAATTTTAATAGGATGAATTATAAAGTGTTTATTTAAATTTAAAAAAATAAACTATCATATGCATTAATGAGAAGATCATGACCCAGGGTAGAAATTGAAAAGAAAAAAATGTTGCATGGTATCGCATGAAACAGTCTATCCATATATAATTTAAAAATTGCTTAACTTTCTGAAGCATTATCAAAGTAGACTGAACTACAGAATGGCAATATGTTTTTATTCTGTCTTGTCTATGTTGAATACATACATAAATACCGTATTACATTTTTTTTGCATTTTTATAGGGGCCACACCGTGCAATGAGGCAGTGAGGGCACATGATGCTGGAGAATGAATCCAGGTCACACATAAACCAGGTATATGCTCCATTCTTTTGAATCATATCCTTGGCCCTTTACATTTATTTCATAAAGAACCCAGGATAATGCATATAAGAGCATGATGTTGGAATAACCAAACTTAAACCACACTTTCTACAACTTTCAATGAATAACAGAAAACAAGCTAAAAAAAACTCTAGATTGTTTAATCACAGATATTATTGTCTTTCATGAAAGGACTTCAAATCTGCTTCAAAACAAAGAAAAACTGATTTAATAGCTTGGCTGGAGCTTTAGTGATTGGCAACATGCTCATTTCAAGTTTTTTAAATAACATTCTATATAAGCGTTTATAAGCTATTTTAGGTATGTTCATCTGTGGGATATATCTAAAGATATGTACATATAATTTTTATATTTTATTCATTCTTAAATTTTTATGAGCTGTATAATTTTTTTTTTATTTTTGGGTCACACCTGTCAATGCACAAGGGTCACTCCTGGCTCATGCACTCAGGAATTACTCTTGGCAGTGCTGGGGAACATATGGGATGCTGGGAATCGAACCTGGGTTGGCTGCATACAAGGAAAACACCCCACCCCCTGCTGTGCTATTGCTCCAGCCCCAAGATGAGCTGTATAATTTTAGACTTGGCTCATTCTACTCTAAGTATCCCCTTTAGCAAAAAACATATGATTGATGTCAGTGATTGCTGAGGTATCTACATCAGACAACAGGGGCTGAAAACATACTCTGGGTGTACTCTGGGAGGAATACTCTGGATATTCCTCTGCCAGTCAGTCTATATTGTTCTAACCAGTACTGCCAGTAATATGTATAAAAAAAGAACTTTCAAGAAATTAAATTAAACTTGCATACTTATAAAAAAAGATAATGAAGGAGCGATAGCACAGCAGTAGAGCGTTTGCCTTACAAGCTGCCAACATGGCGACCCACCCGAGTTCGATTCCTTCACTCCTTTCAGAGAGCCGGCAAGCTACCGAGAGTATCTCGCCCGCACGGCAGAGCCTGGCAAGCTACCCGTGATGAATTCAATATGCCAAACACAGTAACAACAAGTCTCACGATGGAGACATTACTGGGTCCGCTCGAGCAAATCGATGAACAACGGGAGGACAGTGACCGTGGATAGATTTTATGTTCATTAACAATTTCTCAGTTGTACAGTTACTAGAAATTTTGCCATCTATTCATATTTAAAATACACATAGATGCACTTATGAATTAGTTAAAAGTTGGAAATAAGGGAGGTTATGAAGGGATATAATTTATGAATGTAAATTAATAATATATTTTCTTCTTAAAAATTTTAACACTAATATCCACAAATTGCAAAGAAAATTTCCAGTTTCAATGACAAATGTGAAGCTCCTGCTTGTAAATAATAGAATAAGAGAATTTTAAAAATTCATTGGTAAAGTAAGTTACTACAAAAGTTACTTTAGCTGCACTTGAGATTACATAAATACCCTTATGTAGTAGTAAGATTTTTGCTAAAACGTTTTTTCCAAAATCTCTCTCTTCTCCATTTCACTTTGTCTATCATTTTGAAATTTCTGGCATGTCTTCATTTGAGACTCTAGTTGGTTTCAATCTTAAAAGTTAAACAGAGTGGGAGACAGAGAGATAGTTTAGTGAATAGGACAGCTGCCTTGAAAGTGGCATACTAGGGTTTGATCCATGGCACTCCACTTGGGATCAAATCTAAGATGCTAGCACCCCTCTAGAGTTTGATTCCACCAACAATGATCCCTGAGAGTAGAGCCTGAAGTAGCCCTTGAGCATAACCAGGTGTGTCCCCTACACACCAACAATAAGACAAAACAAACCTAAACAGAAACATAAAAAATATATATCCCTAGTGAAGTCTGCCTTCCTCTGAAGCGTTTCCTCCAGACTTTCAAACATATGATGATGACAATCAAAATCATACTCATTACAGCTAGCAGTAATTAACTAGTGTGTCAGACTGTACATTAAAAAACATCATGAAGACTTCTAATCATTTCAAAGCACCCTAAAGGCACATGCTTTTCGAAAGGCAAAACTGTAGAACAGAGATCTTAGGAAACGCACCCAAGATTACATAACTACAATAGTGATCAACCCTAACCCCAGGAAATGTAAAACACTACAATGACATATCTGGTCTTATGAGTTGAAATTACAGATTTGTTTATTCACAATCCTAACATCATAAGATTTCATAGGCTTTACTCTGAAAGCAAAGTTTTCAATGATTGTTCATAACTGTTTCCTCATTCTCAGACTAACACAATACAAGATATGAAATATAATGTAAAGTTCTTAAATTCAAAATTCTGTAAGAATATGAAATTTTGACTGATTTATCTTATAGATGGAATAATATCAAATTTATGGGCATTTATATAGAGAGACAAATATATAAATATTTTTAATCAAGATTAGAATTATAGAATTAAAGTGCTGTATAATCTTACTGGAAATCATAAAATTTGCATACCTAGACCTTAATGACTTTATTAATATCTGGGAAGTTTTATTTTCTTTAAATTAATGTTAACCACACATTAATTTGGAGATTCTGATTCATTGAGCATGGGATATGTCTCAGACAATCTGTAGTTACATGATGATAATGATAATAATACAAACATTCAATTCTGAATATCACTGAATTTCAGGAAATATTATGGAGTTTTATCTTCTTCCCAAAGACTAAAGTATTTATATGTTTTGAATTATGCTTATTTGCTAAGACAAGAAGTCTATTTAAAATAGACTTTAATCCCTTTTTGGAGAACTCTGTAAAAAACAAGCTTAACTTCACTTATGACTTCTACTTCTTTCCTTTAAGCGATTCAAAATAAGTTCTCTTCTCACACAAAAATCTTCAGCTAACTATCACCAGAAGGATATTATGCAATAACAAGTCTCTTTTTTCTTAAGTTTCTTCATAAAACAAGGTTTTTATAGAGTGCATAATTCTAGTCACTTACTATGAATGCACTGAAGTTGTCAACATCCTTCACCATTATCATATCACAGCATTGGCTAGAATATATAATGTAGTGTGTGTTACTGATTCACTATAGAAAAATCCTAGTAGATATATATATATCATCATTGTTCTAGATGATGAATTTTGCAAAAAATATAGATATCTGATTAAATAAAGTTATCTAATCATGTAAAGGTGAGTTCAGCCAACTTCATCTCTTCACTAATTCTATTATGTGTTAACAATTTCACTATTTTCTCAAATTCATAACACACTGTCTTAAGTGGCATCTATATGTAAAAAGAACTTGTATATAATTTTCCATACATGTGCACATATACATATAAATGTGTGTACATATATATATATCAAAAACAACATAAACACTTTACCTCTTATAAAATTAGTACATATGCTGTTAACATTTTGGAATGAAGAATGCATTATTTTCTAAACTAAACCCTTTTTATTTTGAAATAGCTCATGAACACCTAAAATAGCAGTGTTCAGCAC